AGATAGATAGATAGATAGATAGATAGATAGATAGATAGATAGATAGATAGATATTCCTGGCCAGAGCCAGGCACATTGGCACATACTTGTAATCCCAGCACTCTGGGAGGCAGAGGCAGGCAGTTCTCTCTGAGATCGAGGCCAAGCTCATCTACAAAGTAAGTCCAGGACAGCCAAGGGCTACACAGAGAAACCCTGTCTCGAAAACCAAAAAAATAAAAATTAAAAAAAAAATTAATAAATAAAATCTGGCCATATACAATGGAATGGTGTTGTTGTGTGTATCCATTATGTAAATGTATTGGTAGGGAACCACAAATAACCAGTTGCCATTCTCTTAATAGGATAATCAATTTCTTGATGAGGTAAAGAGAAACACATACATGAAAAATATTCCCATAGTGCTTCACTCAAACAGTACACTGAACTAAAGAGTTCATACTTTGAGTAAAACTTTCACAAACCTCATGACAAATGGGCACTGTCTGGGAATTCTAATATTCATCTTCTTTGTGGCAGACACCTCCTATCTTTTTTCTAAACACCTTGGAGCTGAGAAAGTAGTGGAGTTGGTGGGATGCTTGCCTAGCATTCCTGAAGCCCAGGGGTCTATCCCACCACTCATAATCCCTGGGCATCATGGTGTACACTGTAAGAGCAATCAGAAGTTCAAGGTCTTCAACTGTGTAGCAAGATCCATGCCACCTGAGGAGATGTATATCCCTGTTAGAGACGGAAGAGGTGGGGCGGAGAGATAGCATGGTGGTTAAGAGCACTGGCTTCTGTGCACAGGTCCTGGGCTCAATTCCCAGCATCCACGTGGCTGCTCACAATGGCTTTTAACTTCAGTACCAACTCCATGTGTGACATCTTGATGAGATAAAGTAGAGAAACACATACATGAAGAAAACAGCATTTTTCGGTCTCCTCTTCTGTTACCCATAGTGTTTCTGAACTCCACAGGCACCAGGCACACATGTGCTACACACATATGTATAGGGAAAACACCCATACACATATTTTTTGTCTGTTTGTTAAGATTAAAAAATAGAACTAGGGTCCTGGAGAGATGACTCAGTGGGTCCTGGACAGTGGCTCACTGTCTGCTTTTCCGGAGGTCCTGAGTTAATCCCTGCCAACCACATGGTGACTCATAACCATCCATACTGGGATCTGATGCCTCTTCTGGCCTGCAGGTGTACATGCAGATAGAGCACTCATGCATTAAATAAGTAAATAAATAAATCGTTTTAAAAAATAGAGTCTAAAGTCATCAGTGAATTTTGTTGGGGAAAAATGTCATGTGCATTATAAATGTTCTTCCTTAAGAACACTTATTGTGGCTCCGTGGTTATGTTCAGTGAATATAGGAAGAAGGAATTGATAAAACAGAAGGCCAAAATGAATTACTGTCAGTGCTGTAGTCTGTTCTGTATGCCATTTGATGACTAAGAAAAAGCTGTAATTTAACAGTATTGTGTGTGGGTGTCTCTGAACAGTTGACAGGAATTATTTATAATCTTGTGAGTATTAAATTGTTATTTTAAATGAGGGAAAGCTGCACACAAGAGTTAAAACTTGTGTGAGGTTATGAATCTCTGGGAACGCAGGGCCACCAGGTGTGGGGAGAGCTGTCTCTAAACCCATCACCTGGGAAGTTGAGGCAAGGGAGTCCCTATGTAGTGAGAGCCTGCCTCACACAACCAGCAGCAACCCCAGGCTTGCCCTTTGCAGTCACGGCCCCTGCTTCATATGCACAGAAGCCCAGGCGTGGTTCCCGGCCCTGGATAGACGGTTACGTCCATGCCTTCATTGGCATTGAGAGTGTCGTGTTTAAGGGCTGGATGCAGAGGCCATGGCCTTGCACACACTAGGCCAAGTGCTCTGCCATTGAACCATGGTGCCAGCCCTAGAAGGTATGGGTGGAGGCTGGTCACAAATCAGCGCTTATTGAGTTGTGGTTCACACCTGAGATCCCAGCAAAGGCAGTAATTGAGGCTACCCTAGTCTATAGAGTAAGTTCCAGGCCAGTCAGGGCTACATGGTGAAACCCTACCGGAAGACACTGTCTCACAGATCTGTAAGCCAGAGATGACCTCGAGTTGCTGATCCAAATCACAAATAGTAGGATTATAGGAGTGTACCTCAAAGCCTAGACTTCAGCATTTGTTTTAAAGGTTACCTGATTTAATGTGAATTTTAGTAATCATGCTATGTCCTTCATGATTTCACTTCAGATTTTCTCTCTACAAAAAATTGGAATGTCTCGTTTTCATATGTACATTACAAACTTTGTCCGTGCTGTATCGGTGTTGATGATCCCCATTGCCGCAACAGTACCTTCGGTGAGTAGCACCATGCTGCTTGTGGCCCATGCTCAGCTCCCACGGCCTGGCACCCTGCTGCTTTTACCCACTTGAGCCTTGCTCTTGAACTTGACTGTGTAGCTACTGTCTGTGCCATCAAGCAGCACTTTTGAGCATTGCCTGGATGTGTCCCGCTCTCCTTTCAAACTTGTTACTCCCTTCCTCTGCTTTGATCTGACAGAGCACCTTGCATACTCTCGTAGTTACCTAGAGTCAGTAGACGAGTGTGAGGAATTAGTAACTAGACTAGTAATTAGTCGAGCTAATACACTGAACAACTTCCATATAGACTGGACCACCAACTTAGCAAAGAAAGCCCTGCCGAGTCCACATGTACTCATGAGTACTGGTTGACCTTGTGCATTGCTGTGGGTTTCCCTCACTTGTCCCTGTTGAGATCTCAGTAGGCTTTTGAAAGAAATAGAACAAACAACTGGCGTTACAACTACTTCAGTCCCTTACACATTTCCCACAGCTACTTCAGAAGTTGCCAAAAGCTGTGTCTTGTGTGTTTCATCTTCACTCAGAGCCAACATGAAGCCATTAAGTGGAATTCAGTTGCCAGTAATTAGAGTTAGATGAGCAGACCCAAAGTTCTCACAGTCCTCAGGGATCCGAAGCAATGTGCTGTTGTGTAAACATGTATATTAAGCTGGTACTTGAATGAAGGTCGTTTACCTGTGTAAAGTAAGTTCCCACATCTCTGAAGTAGACCTCGTGCCGTGAGCATACGGTGATATGTATCACAGTGCTCTCTTAAAGAGGAGTATTGCTGTCAGACATGGCGTACCCCAGAGCAAGATGGAAGAACCCCTGATGAAACGAGCAGTGTCATGTCAAGCATCAGGCTCAGAGTTAGGGACAGGTCTGAAAAGGTGTATCACACACCAGGACTAACCCATCCAGTGTAGGGTGAGACAGAGCCTGCCACTGCTTTCTGCTCCATCACACATAGCCTCTGGTATTGGCCACAGTGGTCAACCATGTGAGCAGGTTGGTTGCAGAAATGGTAGACGGCGCTTCAGATACACATGGTCCTTCTAAGGATCACTGCTAGATGTCCCACCACATAAATGTGCACATGTCTCCTTTATTTGCTCATATCTAAGCTGCTTAAGAGCCTAGGAAGTATCTACAGTGCTATTTTAGAAACCCAGCTAAAAATTAGGGTTTTGTTTCTTAGCAAGAAGAGGAATTATGTAGATGGCAGCCTAAAGCTCCACCTGGATGCTTTAAGCAAAAAAAAAAGTGGTGTGGTGGGAGGAGGGCATGGCCGTTGTCCCAGCTGCTGAGGAAGCGAAGCAGAAGGATCTCCGCACGCTGGACACAGCCTGATTTTATACTGGCACTTGCATGTGTGGGTCCATGTGTGGTGGTCACAGGACAGCCTCCTGCAGTCATTTCTCCTTCCGCCAAGTGGGTCCCGGGGATTAAAATCTTATCATGTGTTTGGGTGGCAAGCACCTTTCCCAGCTGGGCCATCTTGCCAGCCGTAGGCACTCCTGTTAAGGCTTTTTGCATATTGCGTCATAATTTTCGAGGTGGTGTGGTACAGTGAGGAGGCACTGTTCAACAGTCTCCCGTGTCAGTGAGAGGAGCCTGAAGCTCCGAGGGAAGGTAAACAGCTGATTGTACTGCTTAGGCCTCGAGTGTCCAGGCAGTTCAGCTGTCATTTGAAACTGCTGTGCTAATCTGCCTTTGCTCTATTCTGCTCTTGAGGTCTCATGGTAAGCAAGTGCGGACACTCACTGTGGCTGTGTACTGTCCTTACCATTCTGTGCAAATGCTCTCATAACAGCCGACAAGATGGGCACAGTGACTGTCCCGTTTTACAGATAGGGAACTGAAGCAAGAGAAATAACCAGTACAAGTCAAAAATAGTGAACAGGACTCGGACCTGGAGCACTTCACCCCAGGCTCACCAGCCACATAGTGTTTGCTCAAGCAAAGCCTGAAGCGCATGTGAGTGTAAGAAACACATGTATGTATAGAAAGACAGCAGGGCTTAGTCAAAAGCACCAGGCTGGGTTGTATCACAAAAGAAAGTTGATAATTCTGTCTCTGAAGAAACAAATGCATGGAGATGACATGGAGAAACTAGTTTCTGGGGAGTCGTGCAAGACTGACAAGTAAAAGGAGGAAACGAGGTTTAGTGAGACTGCCATGGGAAGCGGCCACATCCCCAGGCTCCCACCATCTGTCTGTCTAACCAGCTTGTCAGTACCTGTGGTGGAAGAAAAGTCCTCAGAGCCAGAAAAGGGGGGTGCCTTCTGCTCTGCCTGGGACCTGCTTTCTCATCCGGCTGCTATTCTGCGTGCGTTCTTGTGTTCTCAGCCTCTCTTGCCTGCTGGACCCCAGGTGCTATCTCGTAGCTCACTCAGAATGCTTTTTTTTTTTTTTTTTTTTAATTTTTTCTGCCTGCTTGTGCAAAACTTGACCACCAGGAACAGGTGCTAACCATCCTGTGCTCTCTCTAGTCGCTTGTTCTCTACTGGCTGTGCTCCAGCCTCATGGGCCTCTCACAGAATCTGCTGCTGCGCTCCCCTGGGTTCCGCCAGCTTTGCCGGATACCACCCACCAAGTCGGACTCGGAGACCCCTTACAGAGACCTCTCTGCTGCCTTCTGTGCCAAGTTCCTTTCAAGAAAATGATACCAGCCACTTCCAATATGTTTGAAATAATTATAGACGTCACTGTCAGTTTTGTATAGCAATCTTAAAAGACTTTATTTAAACTATAAAGCACTGTGGGAAAGATGTAAGTTAGATGTAGTTGACAATAATAGTTAAATCTTTTAAGTATTAAGAAAAAAATGTTCAGTTGCAAAAGTGTGACAATAAGACAGGATGCCTGAACTTCTTCATAAAATCATAGCTTTGCTGAGAACAGGACTAGGTCCTGTGTGATCTCTGTGTCAACTGTCCACATAATAAAGTTTTGTAAATTAAAGGCTCTGGTGAAATAATTCCTTATGTGTGGGTCGAAATAATTCCTTATGTGTGGGTCGGTGGGGCTGTGCACCTGTGTTCAAGTGTATACAGAAGCTGGAAGCTCCAGATCCCTCTAGGGTTGAAGTGGGCAGCCGAGGTGGGTGCTGGGAACCGAACTCAGGTCTTCTGGAAGACCAGCATATACTCAACCACTGAGCCATTTAGCCATGTTGGCAGCCCAGGTGAGGTGACGCTCAGTACTTTGATTGGGGGCTGATTGTAGGTCTGTTTGTGGATTTGGAAACAGTCTGTAGAGTTTTTTTGTCTGTCCTTTTGGCAAGTTCTAGTTAAGTAATCCAGTGGGGTCTGGAGAGGTGGCTCCGTGGCTAAGAGCACTTGCCCTCACAGAGGACCATGCACCTGATGTCACCTGAAGTGTATGTGGAGGGATTGAGTGCTCTCCTGGGATTAGAACAGGAAAAGCTGATAGGTGATATAATTTGTGGCTTCTGGCCTTTGCTTGTTTGATTCAGAAATGTGAAGGTTGTGGTTGATGTATTCAGGAGTAAATTGGGCAGAAATAGGGGCCCGATCCTGAGATCCCTGAGACCTCAGATGAGGCCAGGCGGTTGCAACCAGGTGCCTTCTCTGCAGCCCAGCATGGGGAGGGGGCTGATTGATGGGTACCGTTGACCCTGCCTTGCTGGAGATTTTGTATTTACAAATCTGCCTGCATGCTAAAGTGTGTTCTTGTCTCCAAATCAACATTCACAGTTGATTGGGCATTGGTGAGGAAATTGAGTTACTTGAAGAACTGAAATTCATACTAACTGATGCTCAGCCAAGTTGTAACCATGCTTCCCTCACAACTGCAGTACCATGCTTTTCTCATTTCTTCGCCTCCCCTTTCCTTTTTTTTTACTGCATTTAAAAAAAAAATTGTGTGTGTGCACGTATGCGCACACATGGTGTGCGTGTCAGAGGATATCTTGCAGTAGTTTCTCTCATTTCCTCTTGTGGGTTCCCTGGAAGCAGACTCAGGTTACCAGGCTTGGCAGCTGATGAGTGCCTTTAGCCACTGAGCCATTCACTGGCTCGCACTTCCTTCCTTCCCTCCATCCTTCCCTTCCCCCTCCCCTGTCTCTCTTGCCTCTCTCTGCCTCTGTCTCTTTCTATGGAGTGTTAGTAATAAAACTTTAAAAAATATTTTGAAAGCTTTATTTTTTTTTATTATTTTTAAGTGTGTGTGTGTGTGTGTGTGTATACATGAGTGTAGGTGCCTGCAGAGGCCAGAGGCATAGGATCACCTGGAACTGGAGTTGGAGTTGTGAGCTACTCTGTGGGTGCTGGGAACTGAATCAGGTCATCTGCAAGAGCTGTAAGTGCTCTTAACCACTGATCCATCTCTTTTCATCCTAAAAGGGCTTTTTAAAAAATTAAATGTTGCCATGCAGTGGTGTGGCACACCTGTAGTCCCAGCAGTCAGGGAGCCAGAGACAGGCACATTGCTGTGAGTTCGAGGCTAATGTGGTCTACAAAGTGAGTCCAGGACAGCCAAGGCTACACAGAGAAGCCCTGTCTCAAAAAAACAAGCAAACAAAGAAAAATGTGTGGGTGAGAGTGTCTCATGTAGTCCCACCTGGCCTTGAAGTCACTGTGTAGCTGAGAATGATCCTTAACTTCTAATCCTCCACCTTCCCAGTCGTAGCTAACAGCAAGTTCTTTTTATCCCAGTCAGGGCTAAGTAGTGAGATCCTGTCTACAAACAGAACAGAACAAAAGTTTTCATGGGCAACATAACCTAGAAAAAAAAATGACAAAAAGACATTGAAAGAACCATTTTGAAGTCAGAAGAGTGAGTCCTCACAGGTAGTTGCTTTCATTTCCATATATAATTTAGCCCTTGTCTTTTGGTTGGTTTGTTTTGTTTTCTGAGACAGAGTTTCTCTGTCCTGGAATTATTCTGTAGACCAGCCTGGAACTCACAGAAAGCTGCCTGCTGGGATTAAAGGTGTGTGCTACCACTGCCTGGCAGTCCTTGTCTTTTTAGACGCTGTCAGACTCAGAGGCTGGAGCTGTTAGTGTCTCAGGGACACAGTACTTGTCCAGCATGTACAGACCTGGGCTCAGCTGTCGCCACACTGCAAGAACAAAACAAAGCCTGTAGCGTTAAGGACTGAGCTGAAGTTGTTATCCACAAAGGAGTTACTCATGACAGGTGGGGTGGAACATGTCTGTAATTGGAAACCCCTGCAGGCTCTTGCAGTAGGAGCACTGAGGTTTGGGCCAGCCTGGGCTATTTAGTAGTACTGTGTCTTAAAAAATATTTTTTTAAGTTTATATAATATATATACATTGTTTATGTGGCCATCACAAATTCCTTTATGTAAGCCACCACGAAGATCATATTGGAGATACTGTAAGATACATCTGTTCCACAATTGTCTTGATACAGACATTAGACTAAAGAAGTCTTGTTGCTCTGATTGTCTTCTAGGGATGGGCCAGAGGAAAAGGACTAACCCTGCTAGCGCCCCCTTCTTCCTAGGCTGTAACTCCAGGCGCAGAGAGCCTGCTGTTTGCATCTGTTGCAGTTAAGAACTCTGTACAAAAAGCCCTAAGAACTGTAACAGCTGCATATGCTGGTTTGTTTGTTTTTGTTTTTTAAGACAGAGAATGACCTTGTAATTCCAAGTGTTAGCAACCACCCACGTTAAAGTAAAGGAGCTATTTCCTCTGCCTGCCTCGCCTACTGCTCAAAACACTAACTTTGTGCTTTGCTGTAATTGTCCTGAAACAACAGCAACAGACAGCATTTCCATGCATTCTCTTCCTGCTTTCTTGACAGTCCGGTTGAGGTGAGTTCTTCCCGCTTGCCTTAGTCCTATGCTGTTGCCCTTGTTTCAGAAAAGCAGACTTCTGGGTGTTGGGAACAGAAGCATTGGTGGAAAACATGAAATAAAATGGAAAGTAAATGTTTCAAGAAAGTAACCAACTCCTATTTTACTGAAGGAAAAATCAAAGAAGTTTGTGTCTTTGTTAGACTTCAAAGAGCCAAAAACCAGGTTACTATGGGGAAATGCCTAATTTGGGTGTTTTCCCATGTAGAGACTGCACAGGCATGCTTTTGTTCAGTCTTCCTGATAAGGCAGTTACAATTGTTTTTGCCTTAGAAACTGGGAAGGCAATATTGCAGTTAATTTGGCTTTAGTTTTCCCTCCTACATAGTCTTGAAAATGTAACATGAAGTGTACCTAAGGGTATTCATTCTCTTGCCTCTGTATGTTCTGGCTTTTGTACAATTAAAACACTAACCTCCAGCTTTCTCGAGTGTCTGAATAACAGATGCTTCAGAGGGTGGTAATATTAAAAACAATCTGGCTAGAGGAGAATTTGTAGCTTACTCCATGCTGTTTAAAATCTTCCCCATGGGTTGGTGAGATGGCTTAGCAGTAGAAGTGTTTATCACCATGCCTGACGAGTTTCATTCCCATACATGCCATGGCATGATATGCTTCCCTCCCATCTACATACTCCACACACACTAAAACTAAATACATGCAACAAAATAGTAACAGTGCATAACAATCAAATCTACCTTAGACGTTGGGAGAAATTCTTTTCTCTCTGAATTTTTTGTAAGAGGATTTCTCTGTGTAGTAGCCTTGGCTGTCCTGGACTCGCTTTGTAGACCAGACTGGTCTTGAACTTACAGAGATCTGTCTGCCTGTGCCTCCCTGAGTGCTGGGATCACAGCACTCAGCCACACCCTGTGAAATAACTCATTCTTGTTCAGTGACCTTACTTTCCACGCTCCCTCATGGCAACCACTGTGTGCTATGACAAATACTTGGAGCTTCTCTGTAGAAGGCAATCAGTATAGGCAGCATCTCCATCCTCATCCTTATCACGGGCAGCAATGCTGGTCCTGATGCAACCAGTGTGTATTATCCAGCCCCCAGTAAGGTTGTACCACACCAGCTGGGGATACAAACAAAACAAAATGAACAAAAATAAAAACAGGGCTGGGGAGATGGCTCAGAGGTTAAGAGCACTGGCTGCTCTACTAGAGGTCCTGAGTTCAATTCCCAGCAACTACACGGTGGCTCACAACCATCTATGAGATCTAGACCCTCTTCTGTTGAACAGGCACACACAATGTACAGAACATTGTATACATAATAAATAAATCTTTAAAAGCACAAAACAATAAAACAAGTATGCGGCTGGAGAGATGGCCCAGCGGTTAAGAGCACTGACTGTTTTTCCAGAGGACCTGGGTTCAATTCCCAGCACCCACATGGCAGCTCACCACTCTCTGCAACTTCAAAATCTGATACCCGCACACAGTCATACCTGCAGGCAAAACACCAATGCCCATAAAATAAAAATGCATTATTAAAAAAAAAAACCAAGCTTCTTATCTGTTAATAGGACTGTTTGTATCATAAAGGAATGTACTTATTGGAAATGCAAAATGTACAGTCCTAGGTTCTACCCCACACTGTCCTAAGAATCGGTGGCATCACAATGTATTATATACCATTTCCTCCTTCCTCCCTGTCTCTGTCCCTCTCCCTTTCTTTTAAGACAGGGTCTCCCTGTGTAATCAAGCTGGCCTGGAACTTGCTATGCAGACTAGGCTGGCTTCACACTCACAGATCTTTCTCTGTCTGCACCCTCAGGCCTCTGTGTATGTTCTTAATCCCCAACCTCTTTTGTCCTGGAGCTGCTTCTCTTGGTGAGGTTTTGCTGCCATGTCTCTTGGCCTCGTTCTTTGAAGTAATTTTAAAATAGGTTATCATGTGTTTGGTTGGGAGCACAATGCAGAGGTCTAAGCACAGCTTTGTGGAGTCTGTTCTCTCCTTCCACCTTTTTGTGGCTTCCAGGGATCAAGCTGCAGCTGGCAGGCTTCCTTTGAAAGTGCTTTTGGCCTCTGAGCCATCATGCTGGCCCTGGTTTAGTCTGTTATGATTTTATCTAGATACAGTTGGATGCTGTTGGGGCCCCAGGGGCTAC